TGCACTATTAGTGTTTAGCATATTTCTTAGGTTAGTGTAGTTCTTAGTTTATTTCTTAAATCCTTATTACTGTTTCTTTTACAATTAATATTGTTGCTAATGGGTGTAACTGGGACCTGGTGTACACAATTTCGTTCTACCTCATGTACCACATGTGATGTGAATGACAATAAAATTGACTTGAACTTGAGTTACTGAGCTTATAAGGAAAAACATGACATGGGATATGTTGTATGGTGATGACCTAGTTGTGGCTGGAGAGTGAAGTTAATCTCCAAGATGCTTTGCAGTGGCAGCAGGCACTTGAGAGTAAAGGTCTGAAAATAAACGCAGCATAAACAGAGACCATGGTCTGCTCGAACGCTAACGAGACCTTAACAATTACTGATACTGGAGAAAATGTACTTAAGCATGTCAAAATGTTCAAGTATCTAGGGTCGGTGATAAATGCCAAAGGAAGATGTGAAGAAGACGTTAAACACAGAATTGGTGCGGCGTGGCAAAAATGGAAGGAGCTGACAGGAGTGCTTTGTGACAAAAGAACACTGATTTATATTAAAGGGAAACTGTACAAGATGATGGTGCGCCCAGTCTGGCTTTGTGAAGCTGAGGTATGGACATTAAAGAGAAAGGAAGAACTCCTGGAAAGAACAGAAATGCAGATGCTACGTGGGATTAGTGGATTATCACTCAAGGATAGACTGCGAAATTACGATATCAGAAAAATGCTTGGCGTGGAATGCATCACGGATAAGATACAGGAATAAAGAAAGAGATAGTGTGGGCTTGTGCAGCGAATGGAAGATGACAACAAGGTAAAAAGGCTATTAAACGCAAAAGTTTTCGGTCAACGAAGCAGGGGATGGCAGAAGAAGAGGTGGATGGATACGATCTAGCAGGATATGAAGACATCTCACGACAGATGATACATGAAACAGAGCAAAATGGAGATGGAGAATCCATGTGGCTGACCCTGCTCTAAAAGGAGCGCGACCTACGGCGAGAGAGAAAGAGCAGGAAGACAGCACAAATATCAAAAATGTATGTTACACAAAGCGTCTGGGGTCAGGAGCATACAGTAAAGAATGAAATAAATGCGGAAAAGTTCAAGAAAAACGGTCAGACAGACCTTAATTTGTCCTGCGCAACTCTTTGTCTTTAATATACCACCCAAAAGAAAATCAATAAAGCTCATCCACCTGAGAGTTTCTTCAGGAAAAGAAAATATTGAGCTGCTAAAAACATCTTTCTGTGAGCAGAGAGTTCTGGTTCCTCCACCCCGAGTGTTTAACTGAGGCGTCTTCTGAGAACATACTGGAAGCATCTCTGCAGAAACGAGGAAAACGAACCCTTCCCAAATGTCAAAACAGTAATAAACTGCAGTTTGGATACTTTTCACAAACCTTTCATACTTTTGGGGTGACAGCTGGCTCACGGAGTTCCTGAGATTTAATAAACCAGCGCTCAGGAGGTGTCTCAGACACAACCGTCAACGCCGGCAGTAATGTCAGCTGGATCCAGCCATCCAGTTTCTCCACTCGCGTGTTTCTGTTCAGAGTCATGGGTGGAGTCCACCTTCAGCTGTCACTGGACGAGAGGCGGGGGACACCCCGGACAGGTCACCAGAGACAGAGACGCTCCCATTGACACGCAGGGATAACTTAGAGACACAGTTTATCTAACAGGCGAGTTCTGGTCTGTGGGAGGAAACCGAAGCACTCCGGGAGTTGAACCAGCAACCGTTTTTTGCTCTGATGCAACAACCAACTGCACCATTATCAGCAAAAAACAATAAGTAAAAGTAACAGTTCTTATTATTTTCTTAACTTGATTAGTTTCCTGAAATGTTGCACTCATCCTTACATCTACATCGCCCTCAGCGCGAAGGCGACAGACGGGCGATAATGTTTTTGTTCTGGTCTGTTCATGGGGGTTCATGTGTCTCTGTTACCAAAATATCTCATGAACCACTGAATGAATTTTAATGAAACTCGCAGAAATAAAAAGTGAATGTACACCTACAAAACACCGGAGTCAGGCCCTGTTTACACAACACTGGTTTTTAGTGAAACTGTAGCTTTTCTGCTGCGGCTCTGCTGCGGCTCTGCTGCGGTTCTGCTGCGGTTCTGCTGCGGTTCTGCTGCGGTTCTGCTGCGGCTCTGCTGCGGTTCTGCACTCATTTGTTGAATCCAGGTCTCAGAAGGGAGGCTTTGACTTGTGGCTGTGGCTGGTAGTAAAGTTCTGTTAGAGCTGCTCACCCTGTTCAACGTGCAGAAGCAACCCAACCTCATCTTCGGCCCAAATGAAGGTTCCTGCATTCACCATTTTGGATGCTCTGTTTCTCATGCTGGGACTGACTGTGTCTCTTGATGAAGCCCGGCAACAATTTACCATTAATAAATAATGTATGATTAACATTAAACCATAATTATCGTTTTTAACCCTCATCTTTTCCTGTGCACACCTTCCCCTTAGAGGAAATTACACCTCACCGAGCACATATTTGAGTCAAAATACAATAATTTAAAGTGAAAGATCTTAATTCCCTATCTGGCAACTTTGCATGGCATGAAAACTTCACCAGATTCATGTAAATGTGTTTTTTTTTTAATGCTGATTTGCCACAATAAACATAAAAAACACTAACGTTTCCCAAGATCATTCTCGTGTAAACAGGGCTCTAATCAACATGGCTGCCACAGCTACATGACATTAGCCAACATAAATCAGATTTACAGCTACCGGGCTAACATTTGATGTGGTAGTAGCTTAGAGCCCTTCAGGGCCTGGATGTGTAGGCCTTTTAGTTCGGTTACGTAATAAACTACAGTCGGGTTTTATAAAACGCTCCGACTCGACCTGAATCTGTAGACGCAGACTCAGGCTGCTGAACGTCTGAATCAAGCTTCTGCTCCATTTTTCTCTGATTTACCGTAAGTCTGTCAGCCAGTTCAGGCTTTAGCACTTAGATATTAACCTTTAATGACTCCCCGTCGCTTAGGAAGCTAAAGATGAGGGGGATTGATGGGCTGCGGTGCGGAGGGGAATAAAAGACAACCAGCTGTGCATCTTTGTTAGAACATCTGAATCGGAAGGTGATGAAAGAGGAGCCCGTGGTGGGTGGAGGTAATTACGATGATTTACAAGCTGCGGTGTGAAGGTTGCTGCCTGCAGGGTGGTGCTGGTGAGGCTGAGCTGCAGCACGTGTTCTACGAAGCCTCATCAGCTGATAACGTTCACACGAGCCGTTTCATTGAATCAAAACACTAACATTTACAGTCCTTTTCATCACTGTGTGATGTCAAAAAATAACCTCATATCAAGCTGTTTTCCTGTTTTTGATTTTTAGTTTGTTTGTAATTTACAGTCCAAGTCATTTTGCACACTTTGTGCTATTTTAGCTGTTAATAGATGAGCTGCATGTTTTCAAATATTTTCCCTAAAGAAGAACACTGAGATCTCTTGAACTGCTTTAAAACTTTGTTTTCTTCAAAATCTGTTTCAGCTAAATTTATTTTTGTCTTTTTATGCAACTTTTAGCTTTAGCTACCATTCTGACACCATTAGCTGAAGCAACATCTGTTCTACTTTTAGCTTTTGCTGCTATGAACTTTTAGCTAGCCCTTTGCTACTGTTGGCTGGTGTTTTGCTACTTTTAGCTTTTAGTTAGCATTTTTCTTTTCGTCAGTATTTAGTATGTTTTTAAGCTAGTCTTTTTTTTTTTTTTTTAGCTTTTATCCAGCCTTTTGCTAGTTTTTTTTTTTTTTGCTTTAAGCTAGCTTTTGTTTGCTTTAGCTTTTAGTTAATTTTATTTATTTTAACCAGTGGTTTATTACTTTTAGCTAGCATTATGGTGCTTTTAACATTGTGCTACGTATAGCTTCTAACTGGTATTTAGCTTTTTTTAGGCTAGCATTTGGTACTTTGAACCTTTAGCTATCCTTTTGTAAATTTAAGCTTTTAGTTTGACTTTGTTATACTTTGTATTTACCCTTTAGTTGGCTTTTTGTTACCTTTTTAAACTAGTGTGTTGCTAACTTTAGATAGCATTTTGGTACTTTTACTTTTTACATACCTTGTGCTACGTATAGCTTCTAGCTAAATTTTAGCTACTTTTAGTGAGCATCTTGCTCTTTTCGTTTTTACCTAGCCTTTAGTAACTTTTAGCTCTTAAGATAGTCTTTTGGTACTTTTTGCTTTTAGCCAGCCTTTGGCTACTTTTTGCTATCATCTTTAAACTTTTAACCTTTAGTCAGCCTTTAGCTATATGTAGCTTGTAGCTAGCTAGCCTTTGATATTTTTATCTAGCATTTTGCCAAATATTACTATAATTTAAAAAAAATTTTTTTGCTAATTATCTGTTGGCTACATTTGGCTTTTAGTTAGCATTTTGCCGCTTTAAGCTTTTAGTTAATGTTTTGCTCTTTCAGCTTTAACAACTCAGTTTCAGCAAATTTCAGCAGTCATTTAGAACTTGTACTTGATTTTCTCTAGTTTCTCATTTAAATGTCTAAAATTGTCAGATTATTTTCTTTGTCCTGAACAAAGAATTGATCCAATCCATCAACAAAATGTCTGATCGCTCCAGGTCCACCGCCACAGCCAAACACATGGCTGCAGATACCCTCACAGTAAAATATACGTGTAAATACTCAGAGAAACATCTTTGATTTCAGAGTATTTCTCTCTTATTACAGCAGCTGAATGTGTGTAAAGGAGTAAAGAGGAATTCAGGAAATCTCAGCATCAATTCACACAATTTTCACCACAAGCGACAGACAAAGCGCTGAAGTGACCGGGAATCGTTCGTTGAGCGGCTTTTGTTGTCGCGCACCAAATCAGGGACAGGAAAAGAGCAGCAGTTTCACTGATTATCACCAATAAACATTGCAGATGTGTCCACAGCTGTCAAACTGTGATTAAATAATGGCAGCAGATGTGCGTGAATGTAAATAATTTTGGACGAGGACAGACCGTAATTTATTTTCCGTGTTCGTTACCTGAGTCCGGTTGTTGTCCAGAGTTTTCTCCAGCTCAGATTTGGCGGCGGCCGACTCCTGGTGGTGGGTTTGTCGCAGGTGCTCGATGGCCGAGGCGTGGATGTGGTTCAGCTCTGAGCGCAGAGAGGCTGACGGCGAAGAGGAAGAAATTAAGTTTACAAAGTAAATACTTTTCATGATGAGTCGAAGCTGTAATGTTTAAAAATCACAAACTGATTTTCTGCCTTTAGCCTTGTTACAGAAAACTCATTAAATGCTAATTCAGCATTCACACCAACATTTTCTTGTTTTTTATTTTTATTTTTTAACTACTGCATACAATAATTACCTTTATTAATACAATTCCAAATAAAACATTAAAAGCTCTTCAGTAGTATCATTAAGCTTGGAGACAGCCTTTAACTACTTTTAATTAGTGTTTTGATACTTTTAGTTTTTAGTTAGCCTTTTTTCCCTTTTAGCTAAGCTTTTGCTATGATTAGCTTCTAGCAAGCTTTTTATTAGTTATTATTTTTGCTACTTTTAGCTTTAAGCTACCTTTTGATATTTCAGCTTTCAACTAGCCTTTTGTAACTATTAACCTGTTACTTTTAGCTTTTAGATAGCCTTTTGCTACTTTTAACTTGTGCTTTACTCCTTTAAACTTTTGTCCAGCCTTTTGCTTTTAAGCTTTACGCTAGCATCTTGCTGATTTTAGCTACTTTTCTGCTACTTTAGTTTTTAGCTGGCCTTTTGTCACTTTTAGCTTTTAGCAAAACTTCTGCTGATTTCAGCTACCTTTTGCTACATTAACTTTTCAGCTAGCCTTTTGCAACTTAGCCTTTTGTTACTTTTAGCGTTTAGCCAGCCTGTTGACACTTTTAACTAGCGTTTTACTACTTTTAGTTTCTAGTAACATTTTGGCTACTTTATCTTTTAGCTAACCTTTTGCTGCTGTTTGTGTTTTGCTTCTTTTAGTTTTTAGTTAGCTAGCCGTTTGCTTTCTTAAGCATCTAGCTGACATCTTGCTATTTTTAGGTAGAAAAAGGTAGGAATTCAAAAAACTTTTCAGAAAACTGGAGCACACAGCTTTTAGCTTCTTATTTGGCGCCATACAAAGAGAAATGAAATAAAGATTTGAATGACAAACAATCTGCTTTGAAAAGTCAAACCATGAACACTTTATGAAGTGGAAGATCCGGTTTCTCCTGAACTCGCACTCGTGTGAACACAAAGTTTCATAGAACGGGCCGGAATAATACGCTGAGATAACGAGGCGGAAGGTAAAAACAGGAGGTGAAGATGTGGGAGGATGGAGACAGATGGAGGCAGCCTTTCAGCGCTGAGACGATGAGCCGAAGGTAAATAGAGGAGTGTTACTCACAGCCCGGCTCAGCTGTGTTGCTGCTAAAAACCTGAACAACTCTCAGACTCTTTCAACATGGGGCCACTTTGGGGCCATTCGCTCATTTCTTCTTCTCTTTCCTCATCAATTCTCCGAACTGATATCACGCTGACTGCTGTCTACTGCAGGTCAGATACTGACTGCTCATCCCTGATCCACACATTTTAAATACAAACCACCTTTTTCCCCTTTAAACCTCTGTTTTAAAATGGGAGTTGATTTTATTTTGGGCGAAAGTTAAAACAGTCACCTTGTGTGTCTTGATGGTTCAGCCTCTCACAGAGAACTGTTCTGTTTTTCAGTTTTTTTACGATAAGTTCAGCACTGACTGAGGGGAAACAGTAAATGAGTGCAGGAGTTCATCTTTGTTAGTTGCAGCGTTCGGCGCTCACCCAGCATGGCTTTGCCCTCGTCTTCCAGCTCGAAGCGGAGCGTTTGCAGCTCTTGCTCTGAATGCTGCTTGAGCGTCTCGATGCTCTGCCGGTGAGCCTCTCTGAGCGACTGCAGCTCTGCGAGGTGGTGGTGGCGCAGACGCTCCTCCAGGTCCTGACGGACGGATTAAAGAACGGAGCGCAGGATGGTGGGGAGGAGGAGTGGGAAGACCAGAGGGAGTAAAACAAAGGAAAGAAAAGATCTGTTTAAACCTACTAAAACTGAGCAGCGAAAGTTCATTTTAATTTAAATCTCAGGCATAAAAGGCATTAAATACATTTATTCAAGGAATACAAAGTCTTTAGTTTGTCTTCTTTAAAGAAAAACATCAATATACGTCCCGAACAGAGCCAGTTCTCAGACAGTAATTGCTAAAGTTTTGTCTGCAGCCACATGTTGCCATGACTACTGCTTGTTTTATTGTAAAACGTAAAAAAATTTTTTTTTTACATTTATAAACATGAATTTTCATAAAAAAATACATTTAGTTTGTGTTTTTTGAGCAGAATGAAATACTCACAGCATGACAAGAAACGGACTAAAGACAGGAAAGTGAACTAGAAAGATCCGTGGGGAAATTTTGACGGGAACTGCCATGTGGCGGCCATTTTTACATTTTGATTTGAAAGTGCTATGTGTTGGGGTTTGTTTTCAATTACCACCATGCCAAATTTCAGCTCAATATCTCAAAGAGTGACAGCGTTATAGCCAAGTTAGAGTTTTCTGAGGTAGCTGTGGCAGCCATCTTGAACCACAATGGCTCCAAAAGTTCATGTGTTTTGTTCAGAGACCTCTTCATTCTAGGTCATGTGACCTCACTGTGGCAGTTAGAAGCTGTTAAGAGTTCTGACAGTGATTTTCAATTAAATAAAATGCGTCTAATTGCAAATTATGTCACCATGGTAACTCAAAATGTCATTAAAAATAACATCACGGTGCCAAGCCGGTCATTTTGATATAACATTCGTGGGTACGCGTTTTAGTTCAGGCTGCATTAAAGCTGACGGAAAAGTAAGATATAAAGTTAAGAAACCCTTGTCAGGTGGATATTAACAGGTGGCTGCCTTTGAGTCAGTTCACCTTCATGTTTTTTAAACCTCCTTTACGTTGTAATCATTTCAGCTCTTCACACATCAGCTGTAGTAGTCTAGTGTGTCTGCTGTGCTACTTTACACCTCTTTCACAAGTTTTAGTTTGGTGTAAAAACAAACAAAAACACACGAGCTGATTCAGTAACAACTGCTTCATTAAAGAGATGAAAGGCTTCAGGGAGGGAGAAGCAGCGGTCCTGTCCATGGCTCCAGAATGTATTTTAGTTTTGACACGAAGCCTTACTGCAGGAGAGGAAACAGCTGCTCGAAGTCAGCAGATTTTATTTAACGAAACCTAAGAATATTTTTTATTCATGGAGGAGTTTGGGGCAACATCTGTAGATGTTTTGGAGAAATTTTTCACAGAACGATCAGATTTATGTAGAGTTATGAGAAAAATGTTTTTTTGTGGCACGTGTAACAACTGTCCTAACGTGGCGTTAAATATTAAACTAAAACTTTTATTCTGAATTTATTCATTCGTCCACGACGCCAGGTGTCTTAAAAATCTGTTTTGTGTTTGTATCCATTGAACAGATTCTGCCCTCAGTGTTTCACTGCGTTCCTTCTTCAAAACTCTTTTTTTTTTTTAAGTAATTTAGCATAAAGTTCATCATAAATAATTAATTGTGTAATCTGCTTTAGGGATTCATCTGGTGGATGTTTTTTCTTTTCTCCTGGGTTTTTTGAATCAGCCTGTTTGTGCTGAGCATCACCAGCTTATGTCTGTTTTTATCTTCACAACATAAAATTTAAAATGTGTTTATAAGTGTGTATTATTGTCAGGAGAGCAGTCTAATGAACACGAAGCCAAAACCAAAAGCCAACAAAAACTTTCTACTTTAGACATTTTTTAAAAAAAAGACAATTTTTCTCAACAAATGATAACATGATTTTAAAAAGAGCTCTTATTCATTCAAGAAAATTATCATCCAATTATTTTAACATGAAGTTTCAATAAAAACAATATTATGAAAAGAAAATCCATTTCTGCATGAAGTGTTTTAGTTCTGTTATAAAATGTGAAAAACACACAAACAAATGATTATTTATAAAAGCTAGGCCTGTCACGATAACACATTTTGCTGGGTGATTAATTGTCTCAGAAATTATTGCGATAAACGATAATATTGTTTGAAATTTGACAATAATTAGTAATTATTGTCAAATTTAAGAAGAAATGTTTAATTTGTTTTGTGTGTAATATCTTTTTTAGACCAATGGATGGCAGTATAAGAGTTTGAACCAAAGGATGGATAGTGAGGGAGCGAGCAGTGTGTCTCTTTAAGAAAAATGGGAGGGAGGCCCCTTGACATGACATGGGCTGTCTCTCTTTGGTTCTCAAAATGGCGGACGCTCGGTGTGGTTTGAGCTCTTCAGCATTGCATTTTTCACACAAAGTTTTTAATAATAAAAAAATCAGTAAACAAGTTCTCAGCTTCTTTTTGCAGAGAAAATCAACTTTTTACACAAAGGCACGAGTTTCAATTGTGAATTTTGGAGCTTCGACAAGACGGAGGTTTTTTCCAGACAAAACAGATTTTAAGGAGAAAAGAGAAAGGGAGGGGTCAGTGATGAGCACCAGAGTTGAGCCTTTTATCATCCAGTGTCTTCAGTAGAACGAGAGAGACGAAGAAACGATAAAGCCCATAAATGAAAACGAGGTCGATAATTTTCATTTATCATGCGATTAATTGATTTATTGTTTATCGCAACAGGCCTAATGAAAGCATCAACATTTTAAAAATTATTTCAACTTTAAAGAATCTAATAAGAGAAAGGCTTCACTACACTTACTGACCCAAACAATAAGACACAGACTTATGTTTTTATTATAAAAAAACTTTCATTTTTCTCCCTCCAAGTTTTTTTTAAACCTTGACAATTTATTCCACATTGCTTTCAAGTTTATATTATATAACCGAAAGCTAAAGTATATTTTAAGAATAAAAATCTGAACGTTTATCCAGTTGATGTATTTATTCAGACATGAACAGAGTGGTGAAGCTACTGGTTATGGATTTAGAACTCGTGGGTGATAATTGACCAGAAAATACCATAAAGACGACCCCAGACTATAATCCCTTTAAGCACTTAATTAATTAATATTTCCATATTTACCCCCTTCAACACGTTGTGTCCTGTGTTTTCAGTCATGCTGCTGAGGTTTAAAGGTTTAAAGGTTTAAAGCAGAGCCGTGATGTTCGGTATTCCAGACTTTTTCTTTCCACTTCTAATCATCGTCTCGAACTGACGGAGCCCGGCAGACGGGCGCTGAAACTCCACTGGGATGCTGTCACGGTACAAGAAAGTGACTTTAAAACGCCACTAATCTCTGCTATCCTTCAGGTCCTTTTGTGAGGCGGGTGGTTAAAAAGCATAGCTTTATTCTTTTAATTAAAGGGAGCACATTAATCACTCCTAATCACAAAGAATCCTTTAATTACAAATGAGCTATAATGTTGCTTCCACCTCCACCTCTCGCCGCTCTGTGAGCAGCTCGTCTGGCTTCTTGATCTCCTTCCTGTTTGAGGACCGCCAGTATTTGGACTTTAGTGGAAGGAGAATACACCGACTTTAGAAAAGGAGCCGTACCGGTCGACACGTGGGAAAGATAAACATGAAGACACGAACTGAGACTCAGGTTCTGCTGGATCTGGCACAAGGTCTCAGTCCTGACCAACAACAGAGCATAAATGGAAGGATAGAAGTTCCTGTCAGGATCTGGGCTTGTTGTTAGTTTTGTTTGTAACTTTTTGTGTTTCGTGGTTACGTTTATTTAATGTCATGGGATTAGATATGTTCTGTTCAGCTCCCCAGTGGTCCCTGGGTCAAGTCTCACTCAGTCAGCCTGCCACGCCCATTCTCACCTGTCCACATCCATCCATCCATCCATCCATCCATCCTGATGGGGACTACGCTTTGAAATAACATTATGCGCACCCCTGTGTGATATTGTGCGCATTCAGTTAGCTCTTAGAATATGTGTTGTAAATGACTCTCAGCTACTACCACACCAAACCTTACCTGAATATCCGTGAGTATCACTAAGATACAGATGTTTTTGTGTTTTCTAAGCTCGTCCAGTGGTTCGTGGGATATTTTGTTAACAGACAGAAACAGCAGACAACTATAGTTAATGGTAAAGTTTTAAAAACAGATCTCATGTGATCAGTTAACGTGTTCGAGAAGACTCTCAGCTACTACCACACCAAACGTTGGCTCAGTTGAGTTGTTGCCATTCAGGTGTTGGCTAAGGTCGTTCGTGGCCATTTTGAAGGTTTCATTAAAATCCCTCCAGTGGTTCATGAAAGTTAAACCTGTAGAAACTGTGATAGCTTCAGGTGTTCTCAGGTGCTGGACTCTTTAACAACATAAAATCTGTAACAAACAGCGAACCTGAAGGCAACACGAGGACTTCAAATCAGGCATTAAAGCATTTATTGTTGTTTGTGTCAGTCAGCCCTGCTGCAGAATGATATTCACCAGCTTCAGCGTGTTTGTGGAACAATGGGGACCTGGGGGCATTACAGCAGCGCAGCCGGAGAAAGATAAGAGCTTGAATCATCGTTTCAGTATCTGGCTCGGAGGATCGATCGCTCCCTGACAGGAGACCAGAACAAAGAGTGGATTGTAGTGATCCAGTTTCTGCAAGTTCTGATCAAATTGTCAGGAAAGAAACAATAAAAAGTATATTTATATTTCCTTGGAGACATTATTGCATAAATTATATTTTTTAAGAGTTTGATACATTTAGCTGCCCTTAGCTTTAGCTAACGTTTTGATACTTTAGCCAGTGTTTTGCTACTTTTACTATCTTTTTGGTAAGGATTCAAGGATTTTTTATTGTCGTACCAGCTCACATTTGCAGGTTTGTGGTACGAAATTTGGACTCGGGTCCCAGATCAAGAAGCCTAGCAATTAACAAATAAATAAATACAAAAGAGTGATGAAGCTGAATTAAGTTCAGCTCGAGTTCAGCAGTCTGATCAAGTCAAGTTTACCTTTTAGCTGGGGCTTCTTGGATCAATCTCAGCAGTCGTTCAGCATTCAAACTGCTTTTTCTTAGAAAATGCTTTTCTTCCCGTTCATAACCTTTTCACAGAGCCACACTACAAAATATCTGAACTATCCGTTTATGCATATTTATATGAACTAGTGTATAAATTAGGGATTTACATAATTTAATGGACTCTTCTTTCATTGCTTTTAGTTGAAGTGTTTCGAGGAGCAGGTCCGTCTTCCAGGCTCAGTCCTGAAGAGTTTCTAAACTGAGCGGGTCTGATGTGGACATTTTTAATATTAGTTTGTAACAACTTCCTGTGAAAAGTATTCCAATAAAGATAACACGATTCCCTCCGTCATGACTTGCAGAGAAAATAATCCAAAGAAGATAAACTGTCACACGCTTCGTGCACGCTCGCCCGTTTTATTCGTAGCTCTTTGTGAATGTGCGTGCGCTTGTGTTGCAGAGATTTAAAACTACTTTATTACTCGCTGGATAGAAGTTCCTGTGAACTGTGAAGAGATAACACCAGGCAATATGAACAAGCCTCTACCCTCCGTCCACACACACACACACACACACACACACAAATCATCCTTCAAATAGCTCCACTCAGGATAATTGAGTTTTCTCTTCCTGTACTGCCGACAGAAATATTAACACCCCCTCACCATAACAGCCCTACACAAAGCTTTAAAACATTTACTGCTTGTTAACTAAGACGGTACTGGAAGAAAAACACTTAGAGCCATAAAGAAAAGTCAGTGATTTTGCGGTTAAAGGAGTTAAGGATGATACTTGTTGTAGCGTGGGGTTTGGTGACTCAAACCTTCATCTCTATTCACGTTTGTTCTCAAGCATTTGGCAGAAAAAGGACGCCGTTCTCCGACCTCCGCTCTCCCTGAAGCATTAACACAATTACGGCATCGGGGAGGAAAAGAGGATTTGAAACGGTGATGTATAGCTGATCCAAATCGACCTTCGCTGTGAAATGGAAGGATTAGTGCTGGGGATCGTTTTCTTGGCACGCTGAGGGATGAAGATGTTGTTTAAATGTGTATTTTGAGGGGGAGCTGTCGCTAAAGCTACCTGAAATGGAAGCTGTTCGTTGTCCGTGAGTCATGGCGGCGATGAGTCACTGCCGGTCCAACCTTGACTCTGATGACGCTCCACGGAAATAAGATTATAAGGATGGATTCTCCTGAAGAGCTTCTCTAACCAGCGAAGAGAATGACGGAAACGATTCAGCTCACGGTTCACATTTTTAGCTAAGAGGGACTAATACTCTTTTGTTTCTCATTTAAACAGGAAGTTTTAATGTTGCAGCTCCAGAACAAACCATTCACAACACACTTCTAATTATTGCTTATACTGGTGTCTGTCCAATTAACAGATTCTAGTGAAACCCTCGGAAAGTAATCAATGGGCACGCACCTACGACTGATTAACCTTTGAAGTCAACCCATTTCAAAATGGCCACTGCAGCTAATCTATATTAGCCAACACAAAAGTGTTTATTTGAGTTTAAAACGCTGATGAAAAAGGGCAACATGCATTGAATTTTAATAACCGTATACTAAAGTTAGTGCTGCGGTAGCTCGGTGGTCTGTGCTGCAGTCGTATTCCCGAGGCCACAGGTTTGAGCCCAGGTTGTGCATCGACGTGAAACATCGTCAGCTCCGGCCTGAGCTCTCACCATCTCTTTTCACAGTTCATGCCGTGAAGCTGCTCTGTAGGTGAGTTGCAGTTCACCTTTACTCCTGCTGAGTGAGCCAGCAGGAGCAGCACGGACGTGCAACAGGACGAGGTTTCAAACAGCATTTTCACTGCAAATTCAGTGACAAGAACCTTGTGAACTTTGACCCCTCTTTCATTTGTACACTTCATGAACGCCATTTCGAACGAGCAGTGAACTCATCTGTCATCTCTGTGAATCCGAAATGTTTAAAAGCTGATTTTAAATATTGTCAGTGGCGGCTGATCAATAGGGGGCGCTAGGGCGCCACTCCACCACTCAAACCACTCAAACCACTCACCATTTTACACTGAAGGCTTAAAAAAATTAAATAAAAATGAAATAATAAAATAAAAATATTTCAAAATGTATGTATATTTTTTAGTTGTATAAGATAATATGTTATAGTTAATGATGAGTTAGATTGTCTCTTTCAGAAACGTTGTGTCTGATTGGTGACGTATTTCTGCGCTGGGGGAGCAAGAATCTTTGCCCATAGACTCTCGTTAAAAGTTGTACATGTACAGTTAGCTCCTCTTCATTACAACAAATAGGAAGATTCTGGGCGCACCACTCCAGCGCCCTGAGTACCGGCACACTGTACAGATCGTGCTTCCGGTCCCGCCGTCCTGTACAGATTTATTTATTTATTTATTTATGTATTTTTTGTCCTGGAACAGATTGTGCAGTGACACTCACAACCAGGCTATGTATGAAATATTATTTAGGTGTCAGACAGCAGCACATTTAAAAGAGGCGCAGCATTAATTTTGATCAGGCACACAGTTGAGAGCATTTGACGCTGGGTTTGTTGACCCCGACCGGGGTCCTTTGTACAAAGGAGAGGACTGGAGCAGACCACTATCTCAAGCGACATGGAAAATTCTAACGGCAGTCATCATTAATGTGCCTTATTTACTGTGTTCACACAAGTAAGGAATGAGGTAATAAAGTGCGCAGACGTGAGCATGAGTGAGCGAACCGATGAGTCTGTGATGCATGTGAGTGGAATGTCTTGAACATATATATTTTGGTATATGTCTATTTTGGAGTTACAATCCCGCTGGTAGAAATTCTACCAGCCGCCACTGAATCTCATCTCATTTGCTGTCGAGGTAAACAAAAGTTATCAGTGTCTATTTCTGCTCCTGATGTCAGCTGAACTAGTGAGCATCATGTTGGTTTCTTTGATTTAGCTTTTATAAATTTAGATAAAATCTGTGCAACAAAGAGCCAGCTGCTCCCCCGATCCAGTCCAGGCTGTGTGATGTACAGGTTGTTTTCCTCCGTTTAATTTTGTGAAAGTCACGTTTGTAGCCAGCTCAATGAATAATCAGGGATTTAATGACACACCAGTGCATTGATGCTTGGCAAAGAAAATGTTTGACCTTGTTCCTTAGAAAATAAATCACCTACTTTCTCACAATTCTGAGTCAACCCCGTCTGCATTAAAACAAAACTGAACAACACCTGCTGCACATTAACACAGACACTGAGAATCCATGTGTCCTACACTAGACTGATGACGCCGATTCGGACAGTCTCAGATTTTATTTCCGTTCACAGCCCCTGGGCTCCACAGGCTGTGAGTGAATTTGAGTTTGCAGTGCCCACCTTCAGGTCTCGTTGCCTGGCGTGCTCCATGTCCTGCATGGCGCAGCGGTGGGCCTCCTGCAGCCGCTGCTGCCGCCTCTGATGCTCCGTCTGCAGCTCGTCCAGCTGCATCCTCAGGTGCTCCCGCTCCTGGCTGAACTGGTGCTGCAGCTGCTGCAGAGACGACTGCGACTGAGACAGCTGCATCTCCAGGCTTTGCTTCAGCAGGGATATCTGCACAGGGGCACAGAAAACAATGACGGGGGACGTCTATTAGTCGGAGAAGCTGCTGAACTCCGAGTCCGCATGTCTGCAAACTAAACAGGAAGGATGACAGGTGCAGGATGCTTATGCTGCAGAATGATTCCAGGGAGCAGAGAAGGGGCAGCAAACAGGTTAAAACAATTATATTCTTTAAAGTCTCAAGTGAAAAAGCTTTAACGTGTATGCAAATAACCTGCAGCTTATTACAACAAATAAACTAATGTAATAATCAGAGCACTGGAATCCAATATAGGGAGGAAATGTTATGACTCACTACATGAGTGTCTAGACGTTTTTATCTTTAAAACACCCGACTGCTCCTTCCACTTGTGGCTCTTTATCGTGTGTCGAGTCACAGTTTAGCTTTCTGGATGTCTTAGCAACCTTCCTGCACACTCTGGGCTATTTTGGCTGTTCATATAAGAAAGTTCAGCTCGTTCTGTAGATGAGTGCGGTGACTTTTGTTTAGTTTTTTGTAACTTTTAAACTTTTAAAAATATTTAACTTTAGCTACAGAAATTTTCCCACATAAGAAACCCATTAAGATATTTTCAGTTTCTTCAAAACTTTGAAATTCCGCTTCAGCAGATCAACTCTGCTTTTGTCATCTTGTGCTACCGTATTTTTCGGACTATAAGGCGCACGTAAAATCCTTTAATTTTCTCAAAAATCAACAGTGAGCCTTATAATCAGGTGCGCCTTATGTATTAATTCTGGTTGTGCTTACTGACCTCGAACCGATTTTATCGATGTGGTACAACTGAACAATGTTGAGAGTGAATGAGTTGAATAAAGTTTGACTTATCCGACTGTTTTGTTTCACTTAATGCGGTACTTTTACTTTGAGCTGCTACTTTCAGCTTTAAGCTAGACTTTTGCTACATTCACAGTTTAGCTAGTGCTCTGCTTCTTTAGCTAAATTCAGCAGACATTTACTTTTTTAATTGGATTGATGCATTTGTTTATGTGTTTAGGTCATAATTGTTGATATTTAGTAAATTCATGACACAAAGTTGCTCCTCTGCTTTGCCGTTTGTGAGACGATTCTCTGACTGTCCTGTGTTTCCCTGCATGGGTTTTTCCTCGACCTCATGTTCTGCTCCTGTGCACAGCTGATCCTAATCACCGCAGGTGTTTCCCACTCGTCTCATTAGTGCCAGTATTTATTCTGTGTGTTTTCACTCCCCTGGTATCCGGGTGTTAGCCGACTATCCCTCCACGTTTTCATGATTTGTGTCTGTTCCACCTGTTCTCTCACTTAAGTTTTTGCTGCCACGTCAGCACTTTTGCTTTTGTTCGTAAAATAAATAATTATTATTTTTACTCCCGAGTCCTCCGGCTCTGCCTGCACGTGGGTTCAACCATTAACAGCCAGATCATCGTGTCAGTTTGTTTGTTCCTAAATACAAAAAAGTAATAGTTCTACTAAAATAACTTAATGTTTGTATTTACTGACACACGGCGTTAAAAGCTTCACTCTACAGTGATCGTACATGCAGACTTTCTACTGGTGTTTCTTATAATCTAGCTGTTTTTGTCCTGATGCATGCTCAATAATCCAGGTAGAAAAATCTAAAAAAGTTAAGTTTGGTCTTCTGGATATTCAAAAAACAAAACAAACAAAAAAAGTAGAAACGTTTCATCTTTCATCCGAAAGACCTTCAGTTCTGAGGTGCTGTGTTCAGCTTTGTCTTATATATAGCACCTTCTAGTTGTTTTTGCTTATAATCTAGCTGTTTTTATCACTACTTTTTCCTTTTGACTGTCCTTTTGGTTGCCATTTTATTTTAACTTGTAGAAAAAAAAAAAAAATATATATATATATATGTATACGCCTTTTTTACGATTGTCTATTGTTGTCGTTGTTATCCACTGTTGTCATTGCTCTTTGTTAAATAATTCAGGTCTCTCTTGTAAATGAGTCCCTGAGGCTCAATGGGAGTAACCTGTACAAATAAAGGTTGAATTAAAAAAAGTAAAAAATATGCTGAATTCAGACAGCCAGCTGGTAAACAACAGTATTTTTTACTTTTATGGACAAAAACAATCTTAAGCTTGATTTCCAACAGTACGTTAATAAATAATTCAGGTCTCTCTTGTAAATGAGTCCCCGAGGCTCAATGGGACTAACCTGTATAAATAAAAAAGTTGATTGAATGAAAATTTAAACATGGTTCTAAATCCACAAAATAAAAAAAATACACAAACTTCTCATAATCCATTAAACAAACATTATCACGGCTCGATATTTTCTGTTGTTTTTTTGTTTAATCTAGTTCTAAAAGTTCAGGTTTAATGTGCCATAGGCAAATATTTTTAATCCTAATTTGATTTTTGTAGATTTTCTCTTGATCGCTCCCACTGAGTGTTTTCTGACCCACAGTGGGGTACCGGCAATAACTTTGGGAACCACTGATTTAATTCTAACATTAAATTGTGTAGTGTGAAGAATTTAGAGAGTAAAACCGAAGTAATTGGTTTAAATTAATCTTTTAGTAATTCCAGAGCCAAAAATGATATGCGACAAAGGTTTAATGAAAATTATTTGAATCGAGATTCTCGGACAGAAAAACAAAACAATAAAAACACGTCTCTAATGACGCTGAACACTCTGGATCAAAATGTCGTGAAAACACTTCTATTTCTGGAGCAGCGGAGAAAAACTGACTAAACAAAACAAAAACATTTATTGCTTCTTTTAGCTTTAATTACTCAGTTTCAGCTTCTTCAGCTGATTTCAGCAGTCATTCAGCTGCGAGCATTCTTTTATTTATTTTTTTATTCAACCTGCATTTATAACAGGTTAGTGGAATTGAGTCACGATGACTCATTTTCAAGAGAGACCTGTTTGGGAGCAGATGGTGGGGGTTAAGGGCCTTGCTCAAGGGCCAGAGTGGGACCAGTGAAAGTGGAGGCAGGTGTGGGTGCTTCACCTTTCCCACCCACATTTTAGGTAGGTTTAATCAGGGCTCCGAGGCATTTTGCTGATCATTCTGCAGGTGAAGTTATTCAGTTTAACCGAGAAACTTGTTTCTTTAAATGCCGGCTCAACGACCACAACGTGGCTAACCTCACAGTCGTTTGGTTTTCTGAACAGCCGTCGGCTGACGGCGGACCTGATCCGTCATTAAACTAAACGAATATGTTTTAGCAGCATCTTTGACATGAGGAGGCGTTAATCACTGACAGCATGAGTATACGTCAGCTGGTGCACGTGTAAAACTGAAGCTGCATACGGCTGCCTCGGGGTGCAGGATGACCACAGAGCAGCTTAGTCATGCTACATTAATATTAGTGTGCAGTGATTAACCGTCGGGCCCGGCTCGGCTGGGTGTTGTCCAGAACTCTGTAATGAATGCATGATTAGGTTGGTGCTCCAGTGTGGGCTTGGACTGAGTCGGTCCAACAGAGACATCCAGTCTTACAGGCTTCTATCTGTCCTTTATGCTGCTGATGTAATTACAGGCATTCAGGTACAAACTGCAGGATTCAAGTTTAAATCGTTAAGAGAGTTAATCCCTATAAACTGAAGATTAAGCTGGTTTTACAGTTAAAATTAAAAAGCCGTTAAGTAATCCAGGTGTCTACTTTTGCTCTATGTCTATGATACTAACTGTTAATATCTATTAACAGAACATCACCTCAGAGATGACCATTTTTAAACATTTATTAACACATTATTTATCCAAACAGCATAACTGGAAGTAATTTATAATAAGAAAAGACAAATGATATATCAATGTAAAGTTTACTGTAGATAAATGGAACATTTATGAATGACGAAACAAAATAATACATTTATTTAAAGTCATTGCAAGGAATTGGCATTGATTAGAGATTACTGAGAACAGGAAAACTGAGTTTAGGACAAGAAAATTCTTTATCAGGAAGAATTTGATGTGATGGTTTAACAAAACACGGATGAACTTAGGAGTTATTTTGTTCATGTGACAAATTAAAGTAGATTTTTTTTAAATAAATCAGATAAACTTAAACCAAAATAACAATTTTATTAGAAAACTGCCTCTGAGCTAAAAGTGTGTGCACTGATAACAAATACTTCTAATGATTTTACTTGTTCCAATGAAGGAGAATAAGAAAAGGAAGTTAGTATGTATAAGCCCCGCCCCCTGGTGGTTTTACCTGTTCCAGCAGGTCCTCCACTTTCCTCTGCCAGCTCTCTCTGGCACTGTTCAGCTCCTGCTCTTTACTTTGTGCCAGCTGAGACAGAGCCGAAACCTTGTCCTCCTCGTGCTCCTCTCTCATCTCCTCGCGGAGCTTCTTACACTCCTGCCTAAAAAACAAAACAGGATTTACAAAAACCTGTTATTTATTAAACCTGTTTTTTTACTTTTTTTTTTGCTTGACTGGGGTGACACAGAGTGAAAGACTGAATGGTCCAGGTGAGTGCAGGGAGAAATTTTATCCACCACCAGGTGCAACGCAAAACCACCATGTCTTTGGTCACCACAATCATTTGAGGAAACAACTGTACTTTTAAGCAATATAAAAACTAGAAAGTCTTCTTGTTCCCGTTGTTCTTCTTGTTTTTGTTCTTCTTCTTGTTCTTGTTCTTTTAGTTGTTCTTGTTGTTGTTATTGTTCTTCTTGTCTGTGTTCTTCTTGTTCTTGTTGTTGTTTTTCTTCTGGCTTTTCCTTCTTCAGCACAGTGAGTCATCCTCACTCCAACTACTTCCATGTTCTCTCTAACTGCATCCATCCATCTATCTCCTTTTTGTCTTTTTCCTAGCAGTTGCATTTCTTACATCCTTCTACCAATAAAACTGTCCCTCCCCTGGACATGTCCAAACCACTGTCCCTCCTTTGGACATGTCCAAACCACTGTTCTTGTGGTTCTTGTTGTTCTTCTTGTGTGTCTACTTCTTGTTGTTGTTCTTGTTCTTCTTGTCCATGTTCTTCTTGTTCTTGTTGTTCTTCTTCCAGCTTTTCCCTCTTCATGGGGCTCCACAATGAGTCATCCTCCTCCACCTCACTCTGTCCTCTGCATCCTCTGTCCTCACTCCAACTACCTCCATGTCCTCTCTAACTGCATCCATATATCTCCTCTGTCTTTTTCCTGGCGGCTGCATTTCTAACATCCTTCTATCAATATACCCACTGTCCCTCCTCTGGACATGTCTAAACCACTGTCCCTCCTCTGGACATGTCCAAACCACTGTCCCTCCTCTGGACATGTCCAAACCATCTCAGTGTGTCCTCTCTAACTTCATCTCCCAGTTGTTCAACCTGTGCTGTACCTCTAATGATCTCATTCCTAATCTTATCCAGCCTTGTCACTCCTGTCACTTTTTTTCCCCCTCCCAGACTCTGATCGAGGTGGCAGCTTCTGTTTTTCCTCCCCCGTTTTTCCTTCTTCCTGCTCTGCTCTCTGTGTGTCTGAAGCGCCTGGGTCTCATCTCTCGAACATAAATTAAGAAGATAATGGATTTGGTATCGTGGGCGTTTAACTCTATTGATAAGATTTTTTCATCAAAGCGACAAGGTCCTGGAGAACCGGCGTCTCCAGCTGAGACTCACGCTGTGGGGTATGTCATGGATTCGTGGGAAGTGTGGCAGATGATGTGTCTCTCAGTCCTGTCTCAGGAGGATGTTGAAGACGTTTATATATTTGGAATTATGATAGCAGGGACTCTGCTTTTTGGCATCGGCGGGGCTCTGTTTTATTGACTTTTGAAGAAGACAGCGGGAGCAGTTTCGACCATGGAAAAGCTTCCGAGTCAGTGTGAAGGTTTGGTCCTCGCTGTGGGAACTTTGAATCATCTGGTTTACGAGCTTAACCGTAAGGTGGAGGCGATTGAGAATCGCAGGCCACCTGCGGCTTCTGGGACTCGTCAGCGTGGTGGGTTCGACCTTGAAGGAGACTCATAGCATGATCAGTGGAATGGAATCCCACAATTAGGCATTTTCGGAACCAGAACGCCCAGATGGATTCAAGGCTGGAAAAAAGTAATCTGTCTGCCTGAAGAAAGACAAGAATCAAGCTTATCTGAATCAGACTCCCCGACAGCCTCGGAGACAGGCCAACTATCAATTTCTCCTGGGACATAGTAACCAAGGACAAAAGCTTCATCTATCGATTTTGAAGTGGAATCTCAACATTTGATAGTGACTTTTCTTATGCCTAGATGTAGCCCCACACCAAAATGGAAGCTGGTACCTCACTTATGTTTCAAGTTATCACAATCAGAAGATGGGCGGATGGACAGACGGCGGATATTTCTAATCCACCACTTCACTCCACGGCGATGAACAAACACAGATTCAGATTACAGTCAAATTTTTCTATAATAGCTGTTTTTTCATTATGTCTTATGTTTTCATCATTAAGTAACAACATCTGGTGAAAGCAGAGATTCTTGGTGCTTCAGGAGCATTGAAGCTCCACTAAATGGGATCAATAAAGTGTCTCATAGTATTAGACCTCAATACTGCTTTTACAGAGCCACAATCACTCTGTAACGCTTCTGTTACCAGCCCGAGGTGCGTGCATGTGCACGTGCGTGTGTGCATGTTGTCAATGTAATAGCTGTGTGGGAGTTGAAATGGCAGCTGTTAAATGGAGTATCTGAGAAAACACGTTTTATTGTCACTCAAAGCTAAAAAGTGTCAGGCTGAAAAGCAAGACTTCACACAAACACACATGCACGCACACACAAAGAGCAGAAATTTGCACGTCTACCCCTTGAAGTCAAACCAAACAGTCACGTTCACAGTGCAGCAGGATCAACACGTGCCACCATTCATGAACTGTTCTGGTGTTAAATATGGAGTCACAGAAATCATCGTCTTCATATTTCTCTATCTCGCTCGCTCACACACATACAAACACACACACACACACACACACACACACACTCGAGCTTTAGTCGTTTTAACGAGCTTTGTTCTGCAGCATGCGTGGAGCAGACAAAAAAGGTTGAGGGCAGCTGGAAAACGATTAGAAGAATGTAAATAGTTAAAGAATTGAGTGTTGGCGAAACAGTCAAAAATGAAAGAAAAACCCTGAAAAATGTTGGATCATTCTCTGGATTCGAAGAAAAACAAGGAGTGTCACATTGTGCAAGAAGACTTGAGTGCTGAGTGTCCAAAAATAAAACTTGACAACAATTTATTACTTGACTTTCCTCAATTAATGCACTTGCACTGTGTTATATTAGGCATTTTTCATGGGTTAAATAAAATAAAAAAAGAGCAAACTATGTTATTTTGCAATACAATGCTATTAAAAACATACTTCAAACAACACTGTTTGTTTTGATTTTTCAAAAAATTGTGTTCAGTGGCCCAAAAAACTTCCTTTTTTCTGAAAGTGGAAAGAGCAAATTCGACTGAAAATGAGTGAAAACTCAGAAAGAAATCCACAGATGGGAATCGTTTAACAGCACATGCTAATGAGGGTAATTAAATACGAGCTGACATTCTGATGTTTACCATTTCCAGTCAGAGGCGCGATGTTTCAGCTCATAGTCTCAGCTGCAAACACGGAGAACTGCTGAAGGCGTGTTCTGTTCAAACGGCACAAACATCAGAGATAGCTGGCAGGAAAGTCACGGTTTCACCTTGTGGAAGCTGCCTCGCTCACAGGCTTTATGGTTCTGCTCGTAAAAATGTCGGCTGTGTACGCAGGCTGAATTCCAATCAGTTTAGGTCTCGTTTAGACGGATTAAAACGTCCCATTTGAACCTGAAATTTGATCCCAAAAGTGACTCGTATGTACAAAAAATGTGAACGTCGAGCAGCTCTGGGACAAGCAGACCTGTATACTTTGGAAAAGATTCTCACAAGTGATGACCAGATTGAGCAAAATGACAAAACGTTTGTCTCATCACGCCTGTCATGTTTTACGGGTCAGCAATAGAGCTGTCGTTTCTAACCCGCACCTGAAACCCGGTCCAGACCGACCCAGATTAGGGCCGGTCCAGGCCGTTAATGTGATTAATGTACGGACTGGGCCGGTCTTGGGCTTTGATGCGGTTTTACGAATCATACAGCACAAATAAAACTAAATATGAATGCACAATATAAAATTGTGTTAATCTACTTGTAGAGGAGGAGGCAGGTCTGACCGTCCGGTTTAAAAAAGTCACGTTAAGCTCAGATGGACAACCTGATCACCGTCCGCTGATCCGCCGGTTGAAATGGACTTGCGACCTGTCCAGGGTGTTCCCCGCCTTTTGCACAGTGATGGCTGGACATGGGCACCAGCGACCCCCGCTACCCAAAAAGGAAGAAGTGGATAAAGATAATGGATGGATCAATCAGCTGATCACCGGCTGCGCGCGTCTCCGCACCTGCTGTCGTCTGCGATGAAGGAAGTAGCGGCATCTACAAAAGCTGAAGCTGACAAGAACTGGGTTTAGAGATTCGAACCAGATCACAGACAGCAGGAAGGTTTAAAAGATTTATTAATAAACTGCTTCAGGTGGAGGTCTTAGTCCTTGGGCCAGCATAATCTTCACAAACAGGTGAGGGAGCGCTTCCTTGAAGGGAGTTGGTTGTAGTGACGTCTAGGGCTGGGCCATATCATATCGTTCACGATAATACTTGTTAAAAATGCTTGCATGGGAAAATAAATGATATTATGATATACTAATTTCATGATTAAGTATGTCAGTGTTTTCCCCGCCCCGTTAACAGAACCGAGCACGCCGAACTACCGAACCGAACTGCGCACTCCCCCATCCACCTGTCGGTACTGGCGTAATGCTAATTAGCTGTGCACAATACTAGCTAGCTAAAATGCTAAAAACAAACAATGCGCAGCTCGGCTGCGTTTCTCCATCCAGCTCTAAACTGCGGGTGCAGACAGTGACAGCTCACCTGTCTCTCCCTCCCCACCACCAGTGCAGCTTGGCTTTTTTCTCCCCCCCACACCCCGCTCTGAGCTGCCAGTACAAACACGCGCAGGTCTGTCTCTTGAGTTCCACAGTCCATGGATATTCATACAGGGGCCAAGAACAGAGGCAGGTGATCAGAGACAGAGCATCAGAGAAATGGAATAATTCCTGCAGGAACAGAGGAAGATGAAACACCACAAGCTTCAGGGTCAGCTGATCAAATTGTCAAGTTTTGGAAGTTATAACTCATTTAAAAGGCAACATATTTTTTGTTGTATGTTACTTTTTTTGCTCAACAGATTTTAAGCTTAATTTTATTTAGTTATTTTTGGGAAACTTCACCTGCACTTTAGTTTTTGTGGTAGATTTAGTTGATCTATATTTTGTGCAGACTTTTTCATTCTAAATAACAGAAGGATCATTTTTATACTTTGAGA